CCACCTGGAATGTGAGGCTGAGCAGCTGCAGGGAGAGGTGTTGGAATTCAGTCACTGCAGAGGGCCGCAAATGTCCATCAGCCTTTATTTCCATCAGCCAAGGCCCGTGGTTTTCACACAAACTGGAGGTACAGGACTGGCAGCCAGGGGTTTGTTTTGCAGAGAAGACCTTTGGCAGCCTGAACTGAGCCGAACCCGCTCCTCTGCTGRGCTGCAGGATGCAGTGATAACAAATTTCCTGCCACTGCCCCTTCCTGGCAAAAATTGCTGTGATGCAGTGTCTTTTAGGGGAGATGGATTTTGGAGGGGATTTGCTGAACTTGCTCGCCAGCAGGAAACATGGAAAGGGAGATTATGGACAGCCTCTGCCCACAGCCCATGAAGCTGCAGCTGCTTTGAAAGGCAGCAGAATGTTTGTGTCGGCTGCTGAAAAGAGAAATCCCCATGCAGAAACTGGGGTGAAGCTGATATCCAAAATAAAATTCCTTGGAGARTAAAGAGCAGCACAAAGTCAGAACCTGAAGACTGCTGACAGAGCTCTTCCTGCCAGCAAGTCTCTTTTTGCCATCATCATTTCTATTACAGCACTAAATAATAAAATGTCTATACTTATGGGGTATTTTTAAATAAAAATAATTAATCCGTATTTTCACTTTTCCTTGCAGTATGGCAGGTGGACAAAGCAAAAAAAAAAATCATCTGGAAACCATTTATCCTAGTTTTGTAGAAATGATTGGTAATCTGGGGGAAATACTTTGAAGGAAGATGAAAGGGCCAAGTCTGAAGTGTAATTTAAAATAAAATATAAAGGAATTTACAAAAACCCCAAACCAAACACCAACCAAACCCCATCTTTCTTTAATATCCCAGTATTATTTCCATTTTTGTCATTGTTAGTTCACTATTTTAATTACAAAGAAGAGGATGGTGGTTTCATAGTGAGAGTGAAATAGAGTTCTTAATAAAAATGTTACCAMCTATATGCTGTTTGTTTCAGAACAAAGTATTATTTAAAATAAATGACAGCTGATTTTTTTATTAAAAGTGATCTAGAAAATAACTTGCCAGAACAAAGAAGTKCCCATGCAGTCATATCCCAGCCATCAGAGACAGCCCTGGTTATGATATTCTGCATCATTTTCCATTAAATTAATATTAAAATTAAGAGATTCCTGTTGAACATGAGATTTTTAAAACAGCACTAACCTGGAATTCTCACAACTTTGGAAAGGAGTTGGGGAAGAAGGAAATTCAAACTGTCTAACCGGGTAACAAAGCCTCAGAGGAGGCTGTGTTTCCAAAGCTGCTGTCTGCCATAGGATCTCTTGCCCTGGGTAAATGGGTCAGGTTTCAGCCTGAGATGGGTTTAGGAAACGTGGTGGAAAGACAACAGGATTTCCCCTGATTTATTTATTACATGTTCAGCAATGTGGCACAGTGGTTTGTACTGGACGCTGTAACATGTTGTAGGAAAAGGATCTTTGCATTTGCCCTTATCCACCAGACAACCATGATGAGAAGATAAAATCCCCTTCTGCACATGGGACCATGTATCTGAAAATCTCTCCATTTTGTTTCCTTCCTGCAAGACTAAACAACTTGTCAGCTYTGATATTTCCCAGAACTCTTTCTCTCCCACTGAGGTTCATTTTCCTTGAAATGCCTGKAAACGAAGTGTGTTCCTCAAGGGCTGTACTGAGGAGGTCACCACAGCTCTCTGCCTTCTCCTGCAGCGCTGTGGCCCTGATGACTCACTCCCAGCTCATGATCATCTGTTTCTGCCAAAGGAACTGCTTCCAAGTGAGCTGTTCCCCATCCACTTCTCCCAGTTATTCCTGTCTGGGTGGGCAACCCTGATGGTGCCATGGAATCCCAGAATGGTGTGGATGGGAAGGATCTTAAAGCTCATCCAGTGCCACCCCTGCCATGGGCAGGGACAGCTTCCACTGTCCCAGGTCACTCCCAGCCCCAATGTCCAGCCTGGCCTTGGACACTGCCAGGGATCCAGGGGCAGCCACAGCTGCTGTGGGCACCCTGTGCCAGGGCCTCCCCACCCTCCCAGACAGCAATTCCTTCCCAATATCCCATCCATCCCTGCCCTCTGGCACTGCCAAGCCATGCCCCTTTGTTATTCTAGGTCCTTGTCCTTTCCATACCACATCTGACTTTTCAGCTCTTTCCTCCAAATCCTCAATATCACTTGGAAACAATTTCC